CCCCCCCCCCCCCCCCCCCCCCCCCCCCCCCCCCCCCCCCCCCCGCACCTCCCTTCCCATTCTCTTCCCTACCCTCTCAGGAAACAATACTATTTTTATGCTTAGGAACATTTTCGCGCAAAGAAATGAGTGGTAAGTATCTAGTGATTTTATTCGTTTATTCAGTGTTCGCGCAGTTTGCTTTTTGTAGTGTGGTATCACCGCCCGTACTGCGCATATGCTATCAAGGTTGACGTACTTGGTCAAAAGACTTAATTGTATTCAGTGCTATTTCATTAATAAAATGTTCATGAATCGTCTTTGCTGATAGTGGTACATCTTATATCTCTCGGCGTTACAACTTTTCCCCCCTAAACTCAGTTCCATCCGTGCTCTTTTTACAAGTTTGAAATCACCAAGCTGCGCTTGAAACTCGTGCATTATTTCTGTCTTCTGGCTTTTCCTGTTGCTGAATGTTCAAGAAAGATGACAAAATGCGTCTTTAACATACAGACATACGTGCAGACAACCTCTTGGTAGTACACTTTTTTGCATACTATGCGAAAATGTATAATCAGCTCGCTTGGATACTGGCTGAGAAACCTACCCGAACTTACTGTCGAAGAAAGTTTTTTCGCTCCTCGCCCGACTTGTTCTCGACGACCATAGTTCCACGGGATCAGTAGTAAAACGAACGAAAAACAGACCGCTAGAGCACAATAGCGCAGTAAGCATGCCAAACGTGAATACTGTTAGCGGACGTTTCGCACACAACTATAAAATAATTCTCGGAAAATTTAACTCTGCCAATCATCGTATAAAGCTAACAATCTGGTACTGCAGCTTCTGACACACACGTCTTCGAACTGTCCTCACAGAGGAGTTGCAGGTAAATGCATTTTAAAAAAATCAGTTATCTTAACGCGATTTCAGTGAATTTTTTATTAGGAAGCATTTTGTTAGAAAATTGTCTTACTACTAGAAATTACTCCAGCAAAAATAACAGTGAAGGAATCTGAGTAATCTGAAAGTGTTAAAAAATCATTAGAGAAAGAAAAAGCATTGAGACAAAAAAAACATTTGGTTTTGATAAGATGATTCCAAGAGAATCGCAAGATGAGCTTGCAGCGTCCAG